TTGTGGTGAGCTGAGATCATGCCACTGCACTCCAGCCTGGACAAAAAGAGTGAAGCTCCGTCTCAAAAAAAAGAAAGAAAGAAAGAAAGAAAGAATTCCAAATTCAGATTTGACTTCCCTACCTGCAATATTTCCGCCAGCCCCATTATCTAATAGATATATCTATTATCTATGCCTCATTCATTATGGTAATATTTCACACATTGCTTCTGATTAAAGAGCTTATTTTATACTGAGAAAATTGTAGTTAAGAAACTTCTTGGTCTTGCCAGAAACCATATTACTCAGATGTAGGTGCTATAATAAAGCGATATAATGACCTTTTGCAGATTCAGTTATACCTAGCCAGGAGATATAGCTAGCCAAGAGCCAACACTTTGTGAGCTTGGGCTGCTGTCTTACAGGTTTGTGGTATATGCCTTAGACCAACAGCTAAAATATAGTACAGTTTCTCCCACAGTTAGAACATGGATCTAGGTATCAAGGGGTGGAGGTAGGAGCAGTTCCTCTCTCTTTTACACCTAATAATTCATTTATGAATTCTTGGGCTCAGTAGGTTTGGAATACTTTGTCCCCAAGGCAGTAACAGTTCCCCTAGCGAATATAGTCATTGTTCATCACATTGAACATGTAATGAGACTGTCCCCAGACCACTGAGTCTCTTGTTGCTGAACCAGCAGGTAAAGAAGTTATTAAGTTGGCTGCTGTTAGGCAAGAGACAGAGAAGATTGAAGCATCAGGATTCATTCGCAGGGGAACCTTGATGTATTCTCATATGCAATAATAAAAATCAAAGGAAGATGGCATCAATACAATAAAGTTTTAAGTTCGACATTAAAGAATGTGTGTTCTTGTTTCTGTACCAATCTGGCTTATTGAGAAGTTACCTATATCAACTTCTCAAATTTATTTATAATTAAAAAAAATTTAATATAGCCAGGCATGGTGACTCGTGCCTGTAATCCCAACATTTTGGGAGACTGAGGTAGGCAGATCACTTGAGGTCAGGAGTTTGAGACAAGCCTTGGCAACATGGTGAGACCCTGCCACTACTAAAAATGCAAAAAGATTAGCTGGGTGTGGTGGCACATGCCTGTAATCCCAGCTACTCATAAGGCTGAGGCAGGAGAATTGTTTGAACCTGGGAGGTGGAGGCTGCAGTGAGCCACAATCTTGCCTGGGTGATAGAGCTAAATTCCATGTAAATTTTTTTTTCTTTTTTCTTTTTTTTTTTTTTTTTTTTTATAAATATAGAGACAGGGTCTCATTATGTTGCACTGGCTGGTCTGGAACTACTGAGCTGAAGTGATCCTCCCACCTACCACTTTCCAAAATACTGGGATTAAAGGCATGAGGCACCATGTGGGGTCTCAACTTTATTTTTATTGCTTCTTCCTGTTCCCTGCACACATCTTACTTTCAACATAAACTGAAGTTCCTCTCATTTTTGGAATGCAACAAACTTCTTCCTAAAGTCATGGATTGATTTATTTATTTACTTATTTATTTATGTTATTATTATTTTGAGACAGGGTCTCATTCTGTTACCTAGGCTGGAGAGCAGTGGTGCAATCTCAGCTACTGCAACCTCTGCCCAGCGGGCTCAAGCAATCCTCCTACATCAGCCTCTTGAGTAGCTGTCACTACAGGAATATGCCATCATGCCCAGCTAATTTTTTGTATTTTTGGTAGAGATGGGTTTTCACCATGTTGCCCAGGCTGGTCTCCAACTCGTGAGCTCAAGTTGTCCCCTCACCTTGGTCTTCCAAAGTGCTGGGATTGCAGATGTGAGTCACCGCACCTGGCCACCATGTATTTAATAACAATGATAATACTCTGTATCACTGATGATATGATGCACATTTAATGTCTCTGAAATCAGGAGATGTTGGCCAATTGCTCATATGAAGATTGAGTCGTAGCAGTTCACGATGTCATCACTTCGACTGAGCTCTGTGCAATTTTGGCAGTACTTGTGTTATTTTTAATTGCTATTTAATATATCTCCAAATAGATTACCCTATAATTCGGCATTGAAAAGTTTTTGTGTGTACAGAAAGACATGGAAACGGCAGTATAACGTAAGATACAAATCTATATCTAAATAAGATTAAAAGAGCTGTTTCTGTAAGTATACATAACAAATCTAAGAATTAGAAACCATTGTTTTTGATTTCAGCATTTTTTCTTAATATAATAAATAAAATATTTGTTTTACAATTGCTGGCAGCTTAGATTTGATAGAATATGATAATGGTAATAATAATAGCAGCTAATCTTTTTGAAGGCACTGTTTGCTAAATATTTTTCATTTCCCTTGACCTATTTGTATATCTTATCTCGGTGGTCTGGGATACCCTTGTTTCTGGAAAAACTCACCCTTTTTTTTTTAAACTCACTCTTTTAAAGCCGGATTAGAAATAGTTTCCTTTTTTTTTTTGAGAAATTATCTGGCTCTGTTGGCCATGCTGGAGTGCGGTGGCCTGATCTCCGTGCACCACAACCTCCACCTCCCGGGTTCAAGTGATTCTCCTGCCTCAGTCTCCCGAGTAGCTGGGATTACAGGCGCCTGCCACGATTTCTGGCTAATTTTTGTATTTTTAGTAGAGATGGGGTTTCACCATATTGGTCAGGCTGGTCTGGAACTCGTGACCTCAAATAATCCTCCTGCCTTGGCCTCCCAAAGTGCTCCGATTATAGGCGTGAGTCACCACTCCCGGCTTTTTTGTTCGTTTTTGACACAGCGTCTCACTCTGTTGCCCAGGCTGGAGTGCAGTGGCGCGATCTGTGCTCACTGCAACCTCCCCATCCCAGGCTCAAGCGATTTTTCCACCTCAGCCTCCTGAATAGCTGGAACTGTAGATGTGCGCCACCACCATGCCCAGTTAAATTTAGTATTTTAAAAGTAAATTTCGCCACATTGCCCAGGCTGGTCTTAAATTGCTGAGCTAGGTGATCTGCCTGCTTTGGCCTCCCAAAGTGTTGGGATTACAGGCGTGAGCCACCACATCCAGTTTCCTCTATTTTTTCTTTCTTTCTTTTTTTTTTTTTTCTTTTTAGACGGAGTTTCCCTCTTGTTACCCAGGCTGGAGTGCAATGGCACGATTTCGGCTCACCGCAACCTCCGCCTCCTGGGTTCAGGCAATTCTCCTGCCTCAGCCTCCTGAGTAGCTGGGATTACAGGCACGCGCCACCATGCCCAGCTAATTTTTGTATTTTTAGTAGAGACGGGGTTTCATCATGTTGACCAGGATGGTCTCGATCTCTTGACCTCGTGATCCACCCGCCTCGGCCTCCCCAAGTGCTGGGATTACAGGCTTGAGCCACCGCGCCCGGCCTTCTTTTTTTTTTTTTTTTTGACGGGGGTGGGTGGCGTGGGGGTGCGGGGGGATGTTGGCTAAGCTAGTCTTGAGCTCTTGATCTCAAGTGATCCACAGTTTCCTCTATTTTTAAGGCTTCCCTGGCCGGTGCGGTGGCAGACGCCTGTAATCCCAGTACTTTGGGAGGCCGAGGTGGGTGGATCACGAGGTCAGGAAATCAAAACCATCCTGGCTAACACAGTGAAATCCCGTCTCTACTAAAAATACAAAAAAATTAGCCGAGCATGGTGGCACGCCTCTGTAGTCCCAGCTACTCGTGAGGCTAAGGCAGGAGAATTGTTTGAACCCAGGAGGTAGAGGTTGCAGTGAGCCGAGATCGTGCCACTGCACTTCAGCCTGGGTGACAGATCGAGACTATGTCTCAAAAAAAAAAAAAAAAAAGAAAGAAAGAAAAGAAAGGCTTCCTTGAGGTACTCTGAGGAAATTACGACTGTTTGAGCTACATTCATTCCCGTTACCTAGCACATTTCTGTTGCACTGTAACCACCAGTTCGGGTGTCTCTCTTCTCAGATTGTACGACCTTGAGGATAAATACTATCTTTTGTTTATGTTGGGTCCTCTGTATCCACCTCAGCCTCCTGCTTTTTCTAACTATCCCACATTAATTTTTTTTTTTTTTTTTTGATACGGAGTCTGACTCTGTCAACTGGGCTGGAGTGTAGTGGCACGATCTCAGCTCACTGCAACCTCCGCCTCCCAAGTTCAAGCGATTCTCCTGCCTCAACCTCCCAAGAAGCCTGGGAATACAGGGGAGTATTCTGGCCATGCCTGGCCAATTTTTGTATTTTTAGTAGAGATGGGGTTTCACCATGTTGGCCAGGCTGGTCTCAAACTCCTGACCTCAAGTGATCTGCCCTCCTCGGCCTCCCAAAGTGTGGGGATTACAGTCATGAGCTATACTGTGCCCGGACCACATTCTTTTGAAAGACCAAAACAATGAACAGCTAGTTTCATGTAGGTTGTAAAACTTGACCTTGGATTTACTGACACTAACGTGTGCATCACAACTTACGGTCCATAAAATGTTCCTGCATTGTCACATCTTTGTCAGGTTAGGTACTAGTGCATTTGTAGTTGAGCCATTTACTCATCAACAACCAGAGCTGTAGTCTGTAGCTTCGTTGCTTTATCCTTGGTCTCAATAGTCATTCTACTGTACTACAGCTATCAGAGCAGGGACTGATGCCTTAAAGGATAGCAGCTTTTGCAAAACTGGAATAAGGGAGTATGGAAAGGCACCGCAAAACAGGAGAGAGGTAGCGCATAGCTTGAACAAAAGCAGTGCTCAGAAAACGTAGAAGCAGCATCGTGTATAGCAAAGGATGATGAAAATGTCAGCTGAGCCTCTTTGAGTTCTTTCACCAGTCAAACCCCTTACAAGGCTCCAGGTTTGGCCTCTAGTTTTGGATTCCCCGCCTCCGCCCTTTAACCTATACCTCCTCCCTCCCTTCACGCTGCACTGCACCAGTCCCTTAGCCACTCCGAGGCCACCAGCCAGCCTCCCAAAGCTTATTGGGTGGTCCACCCTTTCAGTCTTGGCTTCTCCCGCCAGAGGCACCGCCTCCCGCAAGCCGCTCTCCCTTTTCTGCTCTTCCGGTGCAGGAGGCGTAGGCCGCCAAATCAGTCCGTAAAGTGGCGGGCAGTCGAGCAACAGGAAGCGGTCGCTCTTTCCCCAAACCCCACTGCCTTGTGGGATCTTGGGAAGTCATCCACCCATCCCCGCGCCTAGACAAGTTTTCCGGATCAGTCCACCCCGCCTCACTCGCACTGTGCGGAAGCTGAGAGGGCCCCGGGGTAGGCATGGCGGCGCACCTTAAGAAGCGGGTTTATGAGGAATTCACGAAAGTGGTTCAGGTAAGTTCTGGCGGGAAAGATCCAGAACCGACCCGGAGCAGGGGAGATTATCCAAAACCCCGGCACTTTGCCAGAACAGAACAGGCTCCATACGCCCGTGTCAAGTGCCGACTTCTTTATAGTCTTTAATATTGCGCGTTAGTGGGCGTGTTAGTTTGCAGCTGCTGTTGTCATTAATATGTGTAGTCTGACAGGATTTAAAAAAAAATTATTAGGAGAAACAGTGTTTTTAATTTGCGGAACTGTCTTATCCGATATCTCATTATCTTATTTTATTCTTTTACACAACTTTGCTACATAGCGTTAAATTAGCACCCTCGTTTTCTAGATGTGGACATTGAGCCTTCCCGAGGGGTATGAGGTTACAGCCAGTTAGCAGCGGAGCCGCTTCTAGCCTCCCCACCCCACGTTCCAAAAAAAGCTCCCAGGGACCAGTTTGGATATACGAAAGCTTCTAAGGGGCTGAAAGAAGGGTCTATAGAATTCCTTCAGGCGTGGTGTAAGCAGGCAGGATCACAGACTTCAGACAACTAACGCAGGAAGGAGAGCAGTACCTTCCCCACCATGAATTTGTGAAAGGTAGGCAGAGCCCCAGTCTGAGCAGTCAGTGATGCTCCATGTGTCTCCTCGTAGATGTCGCTAGGGTTGATCCCAAATCCTAATGTCCCATTTCTCATATTTTAATGTGTATACAAATCACCTGGGGACGTTGTTCAAATGTAGGTTCTATTTGATAAGTCAAGCAGAGGAGATAAGGCAAGATTCTGCATTTTTGACATGCCCCCAATTATGCCAATGCATCGGTTGCATTCTTAGATCCTTAGACTTGTAGAGTGGTTCATCTCTGTGTCCTGGAGATGGACAATAGGGCCTGGGTCACTAAAGTGTTGTTGGTGGTTGGATAGTTGATATAGGTTTGTCCTCTTCCTTACATAGCACTTAGGGAAAACATTCCTAGCTTTTGACCTAACCACCTTAGCTAAGACTTGAGAGGAACAGGATAGAAATAGTAAGAATTTTAAGAGGAGAGCCAATTTCTTCATTTAATTTTTAATGAGTAGTTAACATCAAAGTGATTAATGAGATCTTAGTGCTTCTGTTCTTTTTTCTCCGCTGAAAAGATGAGGAGGAAGAACAGTTATGTATCTAGCACTTACATGTATGTATAATAAAGTTATGTATAATAACTTAGATTTAGCAAATAGCTCTGTGATAATAAAGTATTATTATGCCCTCCTATAGAATAAGAAGGCCCTCCCTAACTAGTAAGTTGTTATTGAATACAAATTCCTCTGACTCCAAAGCCCTTATTCTTTTTATCATGTCATACTGTGTTCTTGTCTAGAATAGTCCTAGTCTCTTTTCTCTAGAAAAGTGCATTTGTAAGCAGGTGATTGCTCAGTACTTAAAAATACAGCATTAGGTGTTAAGGAATTTTATTTTCTTTTATTTTATTTTTTGTTATTTGAGATGGAATCTCATTCTGTTGCCCAGGCTAGAGTGCAGTGGTGCAATCTCGGCTTACTGCAACCTCCACCTCCTGGTTCAAGCAGTTCACTGCCTCAGCCTCCCGAGTAGCTGGGATTACAGGTGCCTGCCACCACACCCAGCTAATTTTTTTGTATTTTTAGTAGAGACAGGCTTTCACTATTTTGGTCAGGCTGGTCTTGAAATCCTGACCCCATGATCCACCCGCCTTGGCCTCCCAAAGTGCTGGGATTACAGGCATGAGCCACTGTACCTGCCCTATCATTATTACTATTTTTGAGATGGAGTCTTGCTCTGTTGCCCAGGCTGGAGTGCAATGACACGATCTTGGCTCACTGCAACCTCCACCTCCTAGGTTTAAGTGATTCTCCTCCTTCAGCCTCCTGAGTAGCTGGGATTACAGGCATGTACCACCACGCCTGGCTAATTTTGAGATGGGGTTTCTCCATGTTGGTCAGGCTGGTCTTGAACTCCTGACCTCAGGTGATCTACCTCCCTCGGCCTTCCAAAGTGCTGGGATTACAGGCATGAGCCACCGAGCCTGGCCTATTATTATTTTTCACCATGTTGCCCAGGCTGGTTTTGAGCTCCTTGGTTCAAGGGATCCTCCTGCCTCAGCCTCCCAAAGTGCTAGGATTATAGGTGTAAGTCACAACCCCCATCCAATATTTGTTTCCTTTCCTTTCCATTTATTTTTTTTTTTTGGATGGAGTTTAACTCTTGTTTCCCAAATCCGTGTGCAGTTGTTTGATCCTGGCTCATTGCAACCTCTGGCTCCTGGGTTCAGGCGATCCTCAGCCTTCTGTGTAGCTGGGACTACAGGCATGTACCACCATGCCCAGCTAATTTTTGTATTTTTAGTAGAGACGGGGTTTTGCTGTGTTGGCCAGACTGGTCTTGAACTCCTGGCCTCAAGTGATTACCTCGGCCTCCCAAAGTGCTGGAGTTACAGGCGTTAACCACCACGCCTGGCCCGGTATTTGTTTTCTAATAAAGAATGGACTTTGGGAGGCCGAAGCAGAGGAATCACTTGAGGTCAGGACTTTAAGACTAACAGCCTTGGCAACATGACAAAACCTCATCTCTACTAAAAGTACAAAAATTAGCCGGGTGTAGTGGCATACACCTGTAATCCTAGCTAGTTGGGAGTCAGGCATGAGTATTGCTTGAAGTGGGCTGGGTGCATTGGCTCACGCCTGTAATCCCAGTACTTTGGGAGGCCAGGGCAGGCGGATTGTGAGGTCAGGAGTTAGAGACCATCCTGGCCAACATGGTGAAATCCTGTCACTACTAAAAATACAAAAATTAGCTCGGTTTGGTGGTGCATACCTGTAGTCCCAGCTACTAGGGAAGCTGAGACAGGAGAATTGCTTGAACCTGGGAAGCGGAGGTTGCAGTAAGCAGAGATCGTGCCATGGCATCCCAGTCACCTGGGCAACAAGAGTGAAACTCCGTCTCAAAAAAATTAAAAAAAAAAAAAAAAAAGAGAATTGCTTGAACCTGGGAGGTTGGAGGTTGCATAGAGCCAAGATTGTGCCATTGTACTCTAGCCTGGGTGACAGCGTCTCGCTCTGTCTTACAAGAATGGAGTAGATCCTTTGTGTGGCCTCTAAACTCAAAGGCTACCACAATCCTCAGAGATAGGTAGATCAAAATGTTAGTGTAAGGCTGGGCACAGTAGCTCATGCTTGTAATCCCAGCACTTTGGGAGGCTGAGGTGTGAGGATTGCTTGAGACCAGGAGTTAGAGACTAGCCTTGGCAACATCGAGAGACCCCATCTGTAAGAAAAAAAATAGTATACCTATTTTACAGAGAAATAAACTGACACTTGGAGAAATTAAATGACTTTCCTAAAGGCACAGGAGCTAGTAAAGGCAAAATTGAGACTTATGGCCTCATCACCAACCTGGAGCTCTTTTTCCAGTTTATAATACTGTTTTTTCCTAAGTCTATCAGCTAAATACATTATTTGGCATAATGGAAAATTATTTCCATCAAATGAGGCAAAGTTAAATTTACAGATACTATGCTTTCATTTAGGTCTTATTTTCTCTACCCCTCACAGCAACAACAGGAGGAAATTGCTACTAAGAAACTCCGACTAACAAAACCAAGTAAATCTGCAGCACTCCACATAGATCTGTGTAAAGCTACCTCTCCAGCAGATGCTTTGCAATACCTGCTCCAATTTGCCAGGAAGCCTGTTGAGGCAGAAAGCGTAGAGGGAGTAGTCAGGATTCTCTTGGAACATTATTACAAGGTAAGAAAATCTTGAGGATCTGATGGGAGTATTATCATGGGAGTTTTATCATGTCTGCAGAATGGTTAATATTACAAATAAATAAGGTATTCATTAGCAAGCTTTTACAGAGTATCTTCCTTGTGCTAGGTACTGTGGATACAGAGATAAAAAAGATGCAGATTTTCTCAGAAAGTTACAGTATATTAGATGGGAACAAGGCATATTAATGATAAGGTGCATCATACTGCTGAAGGTACCTTGAGTGCAATATGTACAGAGTGCAGTGGAAGCACAAAAGAGGAGTTAACATCAACCATGACCCCATTCATCTGTGGAGTGTGGTCCCCTTAACAACCTGCTGTTCCTGTCCTAATTCATGGCCCTCATATCTAATGGCAGTGTTCTCTTTTTTTAATTAAAAATATTAAAAAAAAATTTTTTTTTTTTTTTGAGGCAGAGGCTTACTGTCACCCAGCCTAGAGTTCAGTGGTACCATTATAGCTCACCGCAGTCTGAAACTCCTGGGCTTAAGTGATTCTCCTGCCTCAGCCTCCCAAGGAGCTGGGACTACAGGCATGTGCAACTACTCCAGGCTAAGTCTTATTTTATATTATTTTGAGACAGAGTCTTGGTCTGTCACCCAGGCTGGAGTGCAGTGTGTGATCTTGTTTCACTGCAACCTCTGCCTCCTTGGTTTTTTTTTTTTTTTTTTTTTTTTTAAAAAAACACCTATTATGCCATGAATTCATAGGGAATAGGTTCCAGCAGCTCAGGCTCCTTCCCATTGGTTCTCTCAAAGTGTGCTTCTCTGGGTGGAACAGGCTGGCGCTTCAGTTGAACCCAGGTATCTTTCTCTTTGGCTTCTTTCTTTTTCTGATCATTTTCCTTCACACATTTCAGGAAGCTACCTCAGCTCTTAGACTGCTTGATGTGCCCAGTATGCACATTAATTCTCTTGACAAGAATCTTGCTCTTGTTTGTTTATAATAATGCCAACAGCACGCTGGGTAACATTGTAGACTCTTCCAGTTTTGCCATGATAACATTTGTGGGGCATTCCTTTTTGAACAGTACCCATTTTCTTGATGTCTGCAATATCACCTTTCTTATATATTCGCATATACATGGCCAAAGGAAAAATTCCATGTTTTCTAAAAGGCCTAGAGAACATATATCGAGTGCCTCTCCTCTTTCCCTTTGTGTTCGTCATTTTGGCGAATTACTGGAAGATGGTGGTTCTGGCCGAAAGGAAGGCTGCCTCCTTGATTTAAGTGATTCTTCTGCTTCAGCCTCCAGAGTAGCTAGGACCACAGGTATGCACCACCACACCCAGCTAATTTTTTTTTTTTGTATTTTTAATACAGATGGGGATTTGCCATGTTGGCCAGGCTGGTCTTGAACTCCTAACCTCAAGTGATCCACCCATCCTGGCCTCCCAAAGTGCTGGGATTACAAGTGTGAGCTACCACGCCCAGCCTGAAAATTGTTATTATTATTACTATTACTATTTTTGAGACAGGGTCTTGCTTTCTCTCCCAGGCAGGAGTGCAGTGGTGCTATCATGACTCAATGTACCCTTGACCTCCCAGGCACAATTGATCCTCCTGCCTCAACCTTCTGAGTAGCTGGGACTACAGGTGTGTGCAGCATGCCCGGCTAATTTTCGTATTTTTTTTGTAGAGACAGGGCTTTGCTATGTTGCACAGGCTGGTCTCAAACTCCTGGTCTCAACCAATCCACCTGCCTTGGCTTCCCAAAGTGCTGAGATTACAGGTGTGAACCATCATACCCAGCTCCCAAATTATTAAGCTTATAAAAAGTAGATAAAATACTATAATGACCTACCAAATACTCATTCCTAGAATTTAACAGTTATTACTGTTTTGCCAAATTTGCTCTATTGGTTTTGCTGTATTTTTTTTTTTTGAAAGGAGTCTTACTCTGTTGCCCAGGCAGGCTAGAGTGCAATGGCGCAGTCTGGGCTCACTCCAACATCCGCTTCCTGGGTTTAAGCTATTCTCCTGCCTCAGCCTCTTGAGTAGCTGGTGTGCACCACCACACCTGGCTAGTTTTTTATTTTTAGTAGAGACAGGGTTTCACCATGTTGGCTTGGCTAGTCTCAAACTCCAGACCTCAGGTAATCCACCCGCCTCCCAAAGTGCTGGGATTACAGGCATGAGCCACCATGCCTGACTTTGCTTTGCTGAATTTTTAAAAGATATGTCATTTAAAAAAAAAATTATTTCATTACATATCTCTTAAAATGGAATATCTTTTTGTTTTTTCTTTTTTTGTCACTGCTATGAGAAAGTAGAGGGACTTTTTATTTTTTTATTTATTTTATTTTATTTTTTTGGAGACGGAGTTTCTCTCGTTACCCAGGCTGGAGTGCAATGGCGGGATCTCGGCTCACTGCAACCTCCGCCTCCTGGGTTCAAGCAATCTTCGTGCCTCAGCCTCTTGAGTAGCTGGGACTACAGGCACGCGCCACCATGCCCAGCTAATTTTTTGTATTTTTAGTAGAGACAGGGTTTCACCATGTTGACCAGGATGGTCTCCATCTCTTGACCTCGTGATCCACCCTCCTCGGCCTCCCAAAGTGCTGGGATTACAGGCGTGAGCCACCGTGCTCGGCCGTTCCCCCAGTATTTTTTTATGGTTGATGTGTTCAAATCAAAATGCAAACCAGGTCCCCACATGGCATTTAGTCTTTTTTTTTCCCCCACAGGCAAAGAAATGGAGGCATTTAGTCTTTTTAAATCTCTACAACAGTTCTTATTATTTTGATGACATTGATTTGATGAAGAAACTGAAACAGTGCCTGGCAAGTTCCTTGGAATGTTGAAGGGGTATTATAAATGTTTCACTTATGTTTTACATGAATAAAATCAGGCTTTTTTTGGTTGTTCTTTCTTTTCTTTAAAAAATCTTATCTATATATCTAGAGACTGTGTTATGAGACTGGCTAATTTTTGGATTTTTCATAGAGATGGGATTCTGCCACCCTTTTGCTCCCTTTTTCTTTCCCTACCCTTTGCCTCCTTTAAAAAAAAAGAAAAAAGAGAGATGGGGTTTTACCATGTTGCCACGGCTAGTCTGAAACTCCTGGGCTCAAGTGATCTACCTTCCTCAGCCTCCCAGAGTGCTGGGATTACAGGCATGAACCATGAATCACTGTGCCTGGCATCTTTTTTTTTTTTTTTTTTGAGACTGTTGCTCTGTTGCCCAGGCTAGAGTGCAATGGCATGATCACTGCTGACTGCAGTCTGGACTCCCAGGCTCAAGCCATCCTCCCACCTCAGCCTCCTGAGTAGATGGGACTACAGGTGCATGCTACCACTCCCAGCTAATTTTTTCTTTTTTAATTTTTGTAGAGATGGAGTCTCACTGTGTTGCCCAGGCTGGTCTCGAATTCCTGAGTTCAGGCAACCCTCTGGCCCTCCCAAAGGGTTGGAGTTATAGGTGTGAGCCACTGCATGTGGCCAAAATCAGGATTTCTCAAGAAGTTTTCAATCTCTCAGTGATCTATTTTCAGTTAGTCTTTTTCTTAGCAATATCTACCATTATTATGATATTAAAGCTCTATTATCAATAATTATCTATAATAATACTTCTAAAAGCAGTTAACATTTGCACTTTCCACATGTAATATTTTATTTAATCCTGGTGACAGTACCATTGTTATCTCTAAATTCCAGATATGGAACTCTAAGCTTAGAGCAGTTTAGTATTCAAGGTCATCCAGTAGTAAATGGAAAGTATGGATTTGAACTTGGATTTTTTTTTTAAACCTTTTGTTATGGAACATTTCAAATATATACTATGCAAGTAGAGAGAATAGTTTAATTCCCATGTGCCCATTACCTGGCTTCAAAAGTTATCATTTTGTGGCCAAACTTGTTTCATTTTCCCTCTTCCCCAATCCACTTCCACTTCTTCACCCTTACCTTCTCCACCAGATTCTTATGAAAATAAATTCCTTGTATCATATTATTTTAATCATAAATTAATATCTTTAAATGGTGAAGACTTTTTTTTTTTTTTTTTTTTTTTAGGAGTCTTGCTCTGTCACCCAGACTGGAGTGCAGTGGTGTGATCTTGGCTCACTGCAACCTCCGCCTCCCGGGTTCAAGCAGTTCTCTGCCTCAGCCTCTCAAGTAGCTGGGATTACAGGTGCCTGTCACCATGCCCGGCTTTTTGTATTTTTAGTAGAGACAGGGTTTCACCATCTTGGCCAGGCTGGTCTTGAACTCTTGACCTCATGATCCACCTGCCTTAGCCTCCCAAAGTGATGGCACCCAGTTGACTCTTTTTAAAAACATAATCATAATCTATTGTCATGTCTAAAATAAAAATTGAACTCAGGTGTTTTGATGTCAGATCTCAAGCACTTTAACCAGTCCATGCTGCTTGCATTAATCAAGCGACCTCTAGCTCCAAAGGAAATGAAGAGGGATGCCAGATGGATCCAGTTCTAGATTGGTGACCATGGTGTTTTTTACCCTTTCTTCTGTTCTATCCAGAAATGTGATATCTTGTATTAACATTTTCGTGGATAAAACTACCCTGGCTTCTGCTTTTTCCTACATTTTTTTTTTTTTTTTTGTGTGTGTGTGTTTATGATCAGGCAGTAGTCTCTGAACTTATATCACAAGGGATTCTTCACTTCTGCTACTGTGCTAGTTGCTGTGGAGGATGCAGAGCTGTGAGACATGTTCCTTGTCCTTTAGGGACTAGCAGTGTAGTCAGCAGACCATATATGTAGTATGGAGATAGTAAGTGCTAAAGTTATTCATTTGCTCATTTTTTCATTTGCTCAGCATGTCTGAATACTCAGCCTGTGCCAGGCCTTGTGCTTCATGTTGGTAATAGCGATGTATATGATGTAATCCCTGATCTGAGTCTTGAGTAAATATGAAATGAATAGTAACAACATAGTGTTTCAGGTCTTCTGAAATCTGGGGCAGGTTATGTTATGGCCTCGAAGAAGGGAATGATCAATTATTGGAAGCAGGGAT